GCAGACAAGTCAAACAAGGAAATATAACCCTTATAATAAGTGCATGAGTAGTTTATTTTCCCCCCAAAATGCTCTTACGTACAAAAGATATTTTTTTAATTTATTTTATGAATTTTATGAGACATTTGATGTGATTTTTTTCCTTAAATTTTGGTTTAAAATTATTTACGAATGGATTTTTTTTTAGGCTCATAATTGTGTTTGATTGGCTAAGTTAGGCTGGAGAACTTTGCAAAAATCGAATCTATCAACTTTTAATGGAAGAGTGTTAGAAGGCAATTATATTCTCAACATTGGCAATGGAAATGGAAAGGCTACACTAGTACAAAAAAGAAAATAAATGACAGTTATTTTAGTCCATAGATGACGGGTAATACGCATCATTTATTCGGCTGACATTTAAAGTCCACTAATAAATGATGGTTATAAAACCATCATTTAAAATAAAATTTTTATAGAAGGACAAGCGAAATGAAAATATAAATGACAGGTAAATAAGATATCTATCATTTGAAGTTAGTATAAATGATGGGTAAGTTACTTACCCTAACTTATGCCAACACTTGTAATTTTCATCAATACTATAGCACACTAAATGGTATTCCATTTCAGATGCACTAATTTACTTCAAAAGATCACATCTTACACAAGGGCATACTATTCTTCTAGGGTCTTTTACATGCTCAAGAGAAAACCTCATAAACTCTTTCACACCATTCAAATACTCTTTACTTAATTGATTGGAAGACATTCATTCTTTATCCATAACTTTTTAATCTAAAAGACATCCATTCAAGGAAATGTGATCAGTGACTCATGAATATGGAGAGGAAAGGAATGATAGAAAGATTATCAATAAAGAAATTGACTGCTCTACATATAATATAGAGTAATTAATGAATCATGAGTCATAATGCATGAGCATTCACATACTCCTTCAAACACCGAAAAAAAATTTGCAGCATTACGACATAAAGAAAGTATCTCTCGAGCTAAAATCCTCTTTTCAATCTTGGCATCTCACTCAACAAACTAATTCCAACCATATACAATTATAAAACCAACAAAATTCTTACAAAATAGCATTTTCAAATTAACTCTAATTATTATAAAATTATATATATAATTCGTTCAAAAATTATAGAAAAAAGAAAAACACTATAAACATCATGTTGAATTAATGTTTTCTATTTCATTGATCATTCTAAGGTTACACATATTCTATATTAGCAATTTCAAGCCAAGAACAAATCATTCTTTAACAAATGTAAAAATATCAATAAAATAGTAATGTTTTTTAAAGAAATTGCGTGTCAGTTTTGGTCATTAAAATGAACTCTAATTGTAATGAAAATTGATACACTAGTACATTTCACTATGTAGTTTTGAATGATAAAACTACTCTGATCAAACAATGCACGAAATTTAAATTAAAAATTATTGAAATAAATTAGTCAAAAATCATAGAAAAGTACAATCATCATAAATATCCCATTTTGATCACTAATTTTCATCTTAATAATCATCCTAAGGCCAACTATATTATCTACTATTATTCTCAAGTCAATAAAATATCAAACATTAACAATTTTTAACACCCCACAATATTTAAATGGGCAACAAATGAGGAGAAATTTAAACAACAAAAATCAACTAATAAAACAAGCCATAATATTAAATAAATCCAATCTCATAACCTAGAAATCTAAGCATATTGGAAGAAAATGAAGAAAAACCATAGAAATCACAAATCCATGTACCTTGGAGAAGAGAAAATGAAACACAAAGAGGAAGCAAATGAGAAAGGCAACAGACAGCATAGGAGGAGCACTTTCACGTCAGAGAGGGACTAAGGTGGTTGACGATAGCAATGGAGGTAGATTGAGAGATTTCTACCAATTTAGTGTAGAAGTAGAGAAGAGAGAAAATAGAGAAGAAGAACGGGCGAGAATGAAAAAATGAGTCTGAAAATTGAATAAAAATGAGAATACCCGTCATTTATTTATGAATATATGACCGGTGTTTTAAACAACCGTCATATATCATTGAGGCTTTAAATGACGGTTGTTTTAAACATTGGCCCTAAATTTTTTTTCATTCAAGAAACTAAAACATTGGCCCTAAATATATGACAGGTGTTTAAAAACCCGTCATATATTGTTAGGACTTTAAATGAGAACGGGTGTTTGAAACACCTATCATTTAAAGTTTTAAAATTTTTTATTTTTTAATTTAAGTTAGAGATTATGGCCAAGACAATCCAAAAATACCTAAACTCAAAGTTTAAGGTTACCATTGCAAGGGACCTTCAAATAATATAAGTCAATATGAAAAACCCCTATTGTTGGCAAAATAATGTCAGTTACTCATAAATTAACTTGAGACTTTACAAGATAAACTCTAGTTTTTTGGCATTAATGCCTCCCCCTTTCCCTTCGCCTTATTGTCTCCTGTAATGATATTGATAAACGAGAATGAGATTAACCAATCCTAGTAACCGAGAAACTTAATTAAACTATATTAAAGTGTGTCACATATAAGCGAATAGGCAGTTTATATCGTATAGGTCAATCACACATTAATCATATTATAACACATGATATTATGCCACATGATCAATGCAACTACCTTATATCCCTCATTCCTTATATCTTATGATTGAACCTATAGTCTAACAACTCGTATAGGTCTAGTCCCCCTTTTTATATTAGCCTTGCTCTCTAATTGTGAAGGGTCACCCAGCTAAAGGCTCCCGTACTCATTGTTTGACTATGGGTTCTCCTTTCTTAAATTTTAGGGTGTCATACGTGCTTAATCTACACCGTCTCCAAAATTGGTGATATTGAGCATTGTGTTCAACCCATGCCACACCCATAGATTTTTGGCAATACTAAGCACATATAATAATGAAATATGCCAACCACTACGTGAAAACTTAGTGTGGGCCATACCACATGGATTTACCATTCTAATCTTCCTTATCTCTTTGATAGGTTAGCCTTGAGATATTGGATGATGCATCTAGGCCTTGTAGATGTATGTTGAAGGCATGGTCAGGGGTATTGAAGAGATTGAATGCCTTGGTAATTCATGAGGTATAATTCTAAAATCATTAAAGGTTCTTGATCCTGCCTAAAGAAGTGTCATTAAATGAATTCCTTCTATCAAACACTAATCTTACAATTCCTATAGATGTTTGCCTAATACTCTCAATATTAGGAGTTGGCTGTGGCACAGCAAGGGTTACATTTTCCATAACTCATTCTTCTAGCAGGTATGCCATTGAATGACTTTAGGAAGGATGACATTGATTTGGCTCTGGAACTTGAAAAGTTTATGACTTCATATTAGATCCTATAGAGCAAATCTGCTAGGATAGATCCTGGTTTCATACAAAAACAATGTAGTTTTACATTTAATTTCAAAATATCTATAATGTTTTCATACATAAGGCTGACGATCTTGTTTGAATAACTATTGAAACAGATTGGTCTTACATGCAAGCCAGCCTCTACAGTACCTAACAATAAGTCAGAGAATAACTCATGTTAGATATCTTTAAGGAAAGGAGACAAGAAACATTAATCCTTCTCTAACCAGTGGTTTAATGGCAACTTGGACACATCCAATTTGTTAAATTTATAATTTTTTCAGTGGTATTTAATGGACTCATTAGATAGAAGAAAAATTCTTCCTTTGAAAGGTTAACAGGAATTACATCTTCAACATATCTAATAATATAATCAAATTTAAAGAATAATTTTCCTTCTGGTTTATAAAGGGCATTTTTATCAACTTCTAGCATTTTCCATATGTCATTGTCTTGGTTAATTTCTGGAAAATGGATTTCTTCTTTAAAAATGTTATTTGAAGAGGATGATCATCTTTCATGAAGGGAGGAAGAGCCAGAGATAGTTCAACAAAAAAAGGAAAGATTTATAAACATCTTTGTAGAAGATCTCCTCTTTTATGATATCATCACCTTCAGGTTCCATAGAAATGTAAAGAAAGAATATTAGTCAAGATTTAAAACTCAAACCAAATAATAAGATATTAATATTATTCTTAGCACTCCATCCTAGCCAACGATTTTCAAAACGATAATACCTATAAAATATTCATATATGCATGTTTCTATCGAAGTCTGGACTTATACCCTGTTCGTTAGGATACTACCATAACTTTTCAATAATCATGAATATTTTGCATGATGAAGGATTTGTGGCACTAATTAATAATGACACGACATTAACTGGGCCCACGGTGAATAGTACCATGTGAACAGTAATGGCATTAAAAAAATTAACGGTCAGGGTTCATTTTACTACGAATTTAAAAATTTAGAGTTTATTTTACATATTTTAAAAGGTCAGAGTCTAGGGCGCTTTTCGAATAAGAGTTCATGATTCATTTTGCTCATTAACCCTTTTGACAATTACATAATTTCATTGTAAAAAACAAGTTTACAAATTTTAAATTTTAAATTTAGATTATTTATATAATCTCTTTAACTTATGTCATTTTATATACGTGATGAACAAAAATATGTTTTTACAAATTTTTGAAAACAAAAACAAATAAGTTTCAATAAATTTGATAAAAATAAAAATTAATAAATTTTATAATATAACAAAAATTTGAAAATTTATTTATTACAATTTTTTTAGTTATGGAGAAAAATTATTTTGTCGGTAGAGATAGAAATTTATGTCGCATATATTTTAATTTTAAGGAAAGTTTATGTATGCTTTCAAAATAAAAGGGTTAAGTCATAATACAGGGATAGTAAATATATTTACTCTTAACCATTTGAAAATGAACCGTCGAGCCATGTTTTATTTGGGCTTTGGATATGGGGGGCTATAGTTAGCTTCCTAAATTAGATTCATTATACGCTTTTAATTTCCGGATATATTATTACATTTGAAAATAACCATCCAACGGTCACAAAACCACTAGCCGTTGAGTGTTTTAAAACCGTAAAACCTGACGCTCCTGGTGTCCACAGACAAATAGCCACAATGTCCTCATAGTCTTCTGGGTTTATCAACAAAAAATGGTGATTCCTCTCATGAGGACAATCCGATCTCCGTCAAGCCCACAAGCTTGCAAGGTATCTAATATTCTCATGTTTGAATGAATTTATGTAGCTGGAAATTAAAGTTTGAAGGTTTACGCGTTTCTTCCCTCTGTTTCGGATTAAATATTAGGAGAGCCACTGAAACTCAGGGTATCTCCTGAATCTTTCTCTCTTAGGGTTCCCCCATGTGCGAGCGTCAAATCTCTACGGCGTGATCACCGAAGGTGGTTGGAGTGTCATCGGCGGCAACTGGTTTTACTGCAGAAATTTTGGGGATCGGAGAACTGGATTGAGTCGTGCTAGAAATTTGTGGTGTCTTTGTACTGTTCAGAATTCCTTCTTGATTCGTAGGGGAACACAGAAGATCTTTGTCTTCTTTCACCAAGATAATTGGATCATCTTGCTAGAGGCCGTGAGTGACCAACCATGCCACAATGGGCAGCTTCTGAAGAATGTCTCTAACAAGTGAATAACGAGGGAATAATTTATACAATCTAGAGGGCGGACAGGATCTTCCTATAAATACTGCAATTGAGGAAAACTATTTCAAACCCTTCCTCATGGAAATAACTCAGATATGGGTCTATCTTTGAGGTTTTTATATTGTAGATTCATTAAGTTCTACGTTGCGTGATTATACGATGTTTTGGAATTCTAAGTTGGATGCTGTTAAAAATTTTAATATTGATGTGAAAGAAGATTAGTATATTTAAGTTTGTCCTGATTTAGCTGATGCCTTGAGAAGACATGATGATGGTTAGAATCAAGAATGACTTTTATGGGAGTGTTTGATCTTTAGATCAGATGGCACCATTCTTCTCTACTTCAGACTGTCAACTGAATTTGGTATGCTAGTGCTTTCTTTTTTATATTGTACTGTGACAAGATTTTGTTTATCATACATGTATGTTTGGCTGCGCTCTTGGCCTAGAAGAGCTTAATTCTTTATTGAATTGAGAAAACAGAGCCTTTGAATTTTTTAAAAAAAACAATATATTTAGAATAGTGAAGGATAAATATTTAATTAAAAAAAGACGAAACTTGGACTATGAATTTTGTCAAACATTTGATTGATATGATTTTTTTTTTTGGTTTGAAATTATTTATGACTGAATTGTTTATATGAATTTTTTTTTCATATATTTTTTTTTAGGCTTATAATTTGGCCTTTTTAGCCAAGTTGGGTTGGGAAATCTTACAGGAACCAAACCACCTGTGGGCTAAAATCTTAAAGGGGGTTTCATTTCCGAAGAGTGGTTTTGATGAGGCTTAAAAAAATGGAGTAGGCCGTCCCGGATTTGGTCTAGCATTATTGAGGGAAGAAGAGTGTTATAGAAGGTGAGAGCCTATTTTACTGTAGTGCTGTCTATTGTAAAAAGTCTGTGAAACTGGGCAAGCTAGAAACACTGGAACGAACACATATTCCTTCTTTGTAATTGGTCAAAATGTGCATGGTTTGGTAGCTCTTTATCTTTTATTAGTTCCATTGAATATATTTTATATATATCAGAACTTTTGAGAGCTGGCTTTATATGTGTTTCATTAAACTAAAACTGGATGATTGACAAAAAGAGGTCGCGGCTATGACTTTATGGCAAAATGGAAAGAGATATTTCCTAAAGGAAATAAACTGAAAATCCTGTTTTCTTAGATTCAAAGGATCTTGCTTGTGACTAGCTTTTGAACCAGGTTTCTTCCTCTATATTATGCATTTGATAATGATAATTTGTTGTTCTGTGTTGGATTTGAACAGGAAAATAAGAAGTCAAACCCATCAATTTTAAACTAAATAGATTTGGAAAATTCGTATTTGTCGACGAAGAACACTAATTCCGCAAAGGACCACCCGCTGCAGACTGAGCTAGATCATGCGGTATATATGTCTTTTTCACTTTGTTTTCCTTCAAATCTGTTTCAATTTCAAATTCAGTGCAATAATAATCAATTCTATGTCTTTCTCTGATTAAATTGTTGAATTCTTCTTTGTTTTGTTGTCAGCTTTTGTTCTAATTCTGACATCAATTGTTTGGTCATTGTATTCCTCGTCCAGAAAACATGAATGATATTTGTAAGAGAAAATTGCTGATCCAGTGGATTTGACCAATTACGAAGTGAGCATACATCATACTATTTCTCTCTCTCTCTCTCTCTCTCTCTCGCTACATGCACATACAAATAAACTTATGCACACACATCACACTCTTGATTAGGATGGCTAATTCACTGTGATAAAATTCAGGTGCTGCAATGTACAAATTGAGGTTAATTACTTGATAGAAAGGTTCATTTCTAAAAAAATTTGAAAGTCACGTTGCACACCAATAAGTCAAACAAGGAAATATAACCCTTATAATAATTATGTGAGTTGGGTTGGGGAATTTGCGGAAACCGAATCAATCAACTTTGAAGGAAGAGTGTTAGAAGGCAATGTTATTCTCAGCATTGGTAATGGAAAGGCCACTCGTTTTTGGAAAGATCCTCGGCAGCCAAGTAAGCACCTATTTTCTCTTATTTTGTCCTTTTAAGGATTTGAAAAATATGCCATTTATGGCTGAAGTTTTAAAGAGACGAGGGTATTTATGACACTAAGATTGCTGTGTGTTTATTCTTCTACGCCAAGGAGAGAAGATAGATGGGTATATAGACAGGGTTTGCATCATATAAAGTTCACCTAGAATAATGGAAAATTATTTAGGACGGCCAACTATCTTGCTAAGTTGGCTCTTAGTCTTCCCTATGATTTTAACCTTTTTGACCAATCACCTACTTAATAGGTTTGGGTAGTTGTAGTTTTTTCTTTTTTAGATGTTCAATTGGTTTTCTTTCTATCTCTTCTGTTTGTGGTTCGTACTCTTTGGTTGTTCTTATGTTGAATGAAGCTCCCAGTGCATATTGAAAAAAAAAAAAACAAAATAATGAAAAAGTATTTGGAAGATTAGAGTTTCACATGAAGTTAATTTCTTCCTTAAGAGGCTGCTGATGCTATTCCTTCCTTTTGTAAATTTAGAAACATTTGGAATTAAAAGAAGTCGTCATGGAAGAAAGAAATAGAGACCGGAAAAGACGCATACTTTTTTGATTTAATGAGCTTTCTAAATGAACCTAATACTAACTAATGAACATCCTAATAATATTTAATGAATGGAAAATATTTCCTAAATCTAAACAAAATGAATCTTCATAAATAATATATCCTAGCACTTTCCCTCAAACTCAAGATGCTTGAAGTGATTCTCGGAGGATGAATCACTGGGCAAACTACTTGGGAGTGACTCTCAAAAGCTTGAATCATTAGGCAAAAAACTTAGAAGTGAAGAAGCTAGGTACGGCCAGAACGTACTAGCTTCTCTTAATCCTAGGGAGAGTGATTCTCAAAGGCATGAATCATTAGGCATAAAACTTAAGAGTGAAGAAGAGGTATGGCAAGAACACACTGGCTTCTCTTAATCCTATTAGCAGTGATTCTTGGAGGTTGAATCATCATATAGAAGCAAGGTATGGCTAAAACAAAACTAGATTCTCTCGATCTCCAACAAATTTGAGAGTAAAGTTGGTAATTCTGGCAGGTCAGGGTTAAAGTATCCTATCTTTTTAAAAAAACTCATATAATCAAACCCAAACTTAACTTTCTTCAGTCGGGTTTTGGCTAGCCCCTTAGGCTTGGCCAAAATTATCAACTCTACATACACATAGAGTCAAAAATTTTAGCAATCAGGCTTATTTAGGTTAGACTGAATTTGGGCTAGGCTTATTTAGATTTGGCTTAAAGTATGCCACCTTTTCAAAAAGCCCATCATATAACCAAGCCTAACCAAAATTATCGACTCTACATATATATAGAACTTGAAATTTCAATAGCCAAGCTTATTTGCATTAGGCATAAAATATGCTACCTTTTTAAAAAAGCCCAAGCCTGGCCTTAACATTTTTTGAGTAGGTTCGTGGCTTGAATTACTAACTCTATTCAAGAGTAATTATTGGAGGCATGAAATATGAATCACTATTGCCTCCTAGTGATTCATATTTCATGCTAGCTTCTCTTAATCCCCCTAACAAACTTAGGAGTGAATTACTAGGAGGCAAACTTGAGAGTGAAAAAAATAATGGTCGTAGTAAACTAGCTTCTCCCCTAGCAAACTTGGGAGTGATTCTTAAAGGCATGAATCTCTAGGTGGCAAACTTCAGAATGATTTTTGCAGGAATGAATCACTAGGCCAAAAAATTTAAAAGAAATAAACAATAAAGAGGGAGGGAAGGCTCATTTATCTATATAAAACAAATCTTCAACCTAGACAAAGTATAAATATAATTAACTATTCTAATACCATGAAAGAAGTTATTGGGAGAAAGAAATGAAAAGTGATGTACGAGTATTATTGCTTACAATATATAGATGAACTTAATAATAATTAATAAATATCCTAATAATATTTAATGAATAGAAAATATTCTTAAATCTAAGCAAAATAAATATAAGGTTTCAATTAGTTCTATTGATTTTATTGAGTATCTTTCATTAACTTAACACCGTTAGTTTCAAATATTTTATAAAATTAAATCTAATATGTCAACATTAGAGAATATTTTAAAAGATTTAATGTAAAAAAATTGTGATGAAACTAACAATATAAAGGGTTAATGAATTAAAAATATGCTTTATAAAATCAAAGAACTAAAATAAAACCTTATATTAAAGGACTAAAGGATTTTGGCCATAAATATTAGAAGATAACAAATCTAAACAAAATAAATCTTCATAAACACAATATATCTATTAGAAAAATTTCTTTAAAAGAAGGAAATTGTATTTGGACTTTTAGTAAAGCAACCATGGATTAGAATGTTAGGACATGTCGATCTTGGTCCAAAATAATTTGAAATGAGACATAATAGAAGGGGGAGAAAGTTGAGTCGAGATGAGACATGAGTTGAGCATCAAGACATCTCATCCGATAAATTTCTAAAGGAGGAATATATGTTTCAATTTCAATATATATAATATAAAGGACCAAACGTATACTCTAGCCAATATTTAGATAAAATAATATATATATATATATATATAAAGTAAAGATGCATAAATTAAAACAAAGATGCATAATATAAAATATGCAAGAAATTAAAAGATTACCAGAAATGTAGTAGTCTGCATCATCTTGATGAAAGATGCAGAAAATAAAGAACAAAAATTCAAAACAAAACTAGAATAACAATAGTTTGCACAATCAAAACAAAAGAAAAAAATTGAAGTGCAAGAGAGTAAAAGAAATAGAAGAAGAAAGTACAAGAAGGTAGAAAAAAGTTAATGGAAAGCTTCATTGAAGGGGGCTTACAAAGAACTCTTCAAGATCTTGAAAGGGACATTACAAGCCTTTATATAAACATTTGGAAATGTATCCAACTATCAAAATCTATTTAATCTAACAGTTCAGATTTCATCTTAACAATCTTCATCCAATAATAATCTGCATGTTGCCACTTGTCAACAGTTGCTCTTTTTGATTCACTGGTTAATTTTCTTCAAGGTTAATGCCAAAGCAATTATCTTTATTTTCTTGTGTGAAGTCTTCTTTAAGTTTTCTATTATGTCAATTATCAAAGCAATCTAATTGTCCTTCATTCTCTAACAAGAAGAGTGTACTTTTTAATTGATTAATAAAGGTCTCTCTATCTGAGGTAATGAGCCGGGTTAACAATGATTGCACCACAGAGACACATCGACTCTATAGTCTTGAAAGCTTGCATAACACCTCAAGTATGAAACCCTTTAGAGAATAGGATATCTGATAAGTGGATTGGTATATAAGTGCCAAGCAAAAATCTAATACAGATAGTTTTGATAAAAATTGTAGAAAAGCAGGAAAGGAATCATCTACAAGGTTAATTTTTAATTTAAAATATGAAAATTCTTATTTAATGGCTGAGGGTAAAATTTTCTCATTAAATCCAAGATAGTCCCACCATTTTATAAGCAATTGAGGAAACTTATTAGGATTCCACTCTTTTTGAAATGAAGTAATCATGTATGAGTTTAATATTCGTTCTAATATCAAAACATGTTATGCCAAACATAAACGTAATTTTAATAGTTGTAAGAGTAAGCACTTTTAATATTTGCATAGTAAAGTAGGTCCATGTTATCAAACACTTCATGAAATCATTAAATTTTTATTTAAGGCTAGGCGCTTGAAGTGAAATCCTAGAAAACAGATTTGAGAGGCTACACATGGTTTAAATTTTTTAGGAAAAATTATGGCTGCATTTGGATAATTTTTATTGCCTAATCTAACCATTGGGTGTTTTTAAGTTTCTATACAAGTTTAGATAGCACAACTGTCAATTTGCTTTTTAGGCCCTCTCCTTCTCTCTAGTATCAAAATCTGAAGTGAAGTAAGAATGTATTGATAAGATATAAGCTAAGAGATTTCACTCCTTTTGAAATAAAGGAATCATGTATGAGTTTAGTATTCGTTTTGATACCAAAACATATTATGCCAAACATCAACATAATTTCAATAGTTGTAAGAGTAAGCACTTTTAATATCTGGATAGTAAAGTAGGTCCATGTTATCAAACACTCCATAAAATTATTGAATTTTTGTTCAAGGTTAGGGACTTGAAATGAAATCCTGAAGAACAGATTTGAAAGGCTACATGGTTTAGATTTTTTACCAAAAATTATGATTGCATTTGGATAATTTCTATTGCCTAATCTAGCCATTGGGTGCTAGTTTTAAGTTTCTATACAAGTTTAGGCAGCACAACTATCAGCTTGTTTTTTAAGCCCTCTCCTTCTCTCTAGTATCAGAGCCTGAAGTGGAAGTAAGAATATATTGATAAGATGTAAGCCAAAGGATTTCACTCCTTTTAAAATAAAAAAATCATGTATGAGTTTAGTATTCATTCTGATACCAAAACATATTATGCCAAACATCAACATAATTTTAATAGTTGTAAGAGTAAGAACTTTTAATATCTGCATAGTAAAGTGGGTCTATGTTATCAAACACTCCATAAAATTATTGAATTTTTGTTCAAGGCTAGGGGCTTAAAGTGAAATCCTCGAGAACAAATTTGAGAGGCTACACATGGTTTAGATTTTTTTAAAAAAATTACGGTTGCATTTGGATAATTTCTATTGCCTAATCCATTGGGTGTTTTTAAGTTTTTATACAAGTTTAGATAGCACAACTGTCAATTTGCTTTTTAGGCCCTCTCCTTCTCTCTAGTATCAAAGTCTGAAGTGGAAGTAAGAATGTATTGATAAGATATAAGCTAAGGGATTTCACTCCTTTTGAAATAAAGAAATCATGTATGAGTTTAGTATTCGTTCTGATACCAAAACATGTTATGCCAAACATCAACATAATTTCAATAGTTGTAAGAGTAAACACTTTTAATATCTGGATAGTAAAGTGGGTCCATGTTATCAAACACTCCATAAAATTATTGAATTTTTGTTCAAAGTTAGGGACTTGAAATGAAATCCTGGAGAACAAATTTGAGAAGCTACATGGTTTTAATTTTTTACGAAAAATTATGATTGCATTTGGACAATTTCTATTGCCTAATCTAGCCATTGGGTGCTAGTTTTAAGTTTTTATACAAGTTTAGGCAGCACAACTATCAGCTTGTTTTTTAGGCCCCCCTTCTCTCTAGTATCAGAGCCTGAATTGGAAGTAAGAATATATTGATAAGATGTAAGCCAAGGGATTTCACTTCTTTTGAAATAAAGAAATCATGTATGAGTTTAGTATTCATTTTGGTACCAAAACATATTATGTCAAATATCAACATAATTTCAATAGTTGTAAGAGTAAGAAC